AGACAGAGAGAGAGAGAGAGAGAGAGAGAGAGAGAGAGAGAGAGAGAGAGAGAGAGAGAGAGAGAGAGAGAGAGAGAGAGGGAGAGACGAAAGGAAATGCTGGATTACCTTGCCAAACACTTCGAACGCGAAGCCGCCAAAAGACTGAGAAGGATTGGGTGAAGGCTTTGGTGAATCGTCCTCCGTCCGATTTGGATCCATGGGGCCCCCCGTAGTCTGTTGTTGTGACGATGCCATGCAAGCACGCCGCTGCCAAATCGATTGATTAGCCCAGAGCGACAGAGCAAGTGATTGATGATTAGTCGATGATGATGATGATGAGCGGGGGGAAGAAGAGCGCTGGGCCGCGCTGATGAGCCAGCTCGGTGCCAGCTGTCGCTCGCCCGATCCCGATCCAATATCCACACGAACAGCGGACACTCTTCCTCTCGACGGTAGTGATGAAAATGGTAATGATAATGAGAATAATAATGATGACGAGGACGAGGATGATGAGGACGGGGATGATGAGGATGAGGATGACGAATGATCCGCCGGCGGCGACGACAGTACACTGTATCTTCTTGCTTTCCGAGCAGTTGCTCTCTTCGTCTCTATTGGCTTTATCCTCCCGGCGCACGTGGCAGCAAAAGCGCGCGCCACGTCAGGAACAGTCGCACGCACACCGGCGCGCAGTGATGTACACACGTCCACAGCGGCATTCATCAGGGCCTGATCCACCTCATCGACGACGAAGCCCCCACAGGCCACGTGTGTGAAATGTGCATGGCCATGGATACGCGCGCCAATCGGCATCGAACACGTGGCTGGCTGCGGCACAAACCAAGGGGGTGTGTGTTCGTCCTTCGGCGGGACACCCGTCGGAGGACGCGAGAGTGCTCAAGATTAATTAATTAATTAATTCAGTGGGTACACCCCTGAACTGTTGACATACAGACGGTGTTCGATGATGCATTGCCTGAGACCGACGGCCTTGAGATATTATCATTCAGCTGACCGGCCCCAGGCAATTCATTAGTAGTTGGTTCTGAACTTGATGAGTAGAACCAACTACCAATGAATTGCCTGGGGCCGGTCAGCTCAAATGATATGGAACTTTATATGAGTAAAACCAACTACTAATGAATTGCCTGGGGCCGGTCAGCTCAATGATAATATCTCAAGGGCTTAGAGGCTCACCACACAGGCTGTGGAAAACCAGGTTTTGGGGCGGAGGTCCGCCCCAGCGGTATAGGGCCTCCACGGTCGCCCGAGACGCTACCAACGAGATAGCGCCTCGGGAATCCCCACACTTTACCTGCAAGCAGGTACAATCAGCTATGGTGACAAGATACTTGCCCTAGCAGATCTGTCGACCGCCCTGGTTCCCGCCAACAGGAGTTGGTTTTCTTCCTGAAGGAGTAAAGAAAGCTCAAGCTAGATCGGGGAAGACCAGTAGAGAACGTGGAGGCCGACGACAGACCTCAGACCAAGAGAACGACAGCAACATGGAAGACGCCGAAGACGCTGGAGGAGATCGGATGAATGCACGCTCCCCACCCGCGGCCCCTCCGGAGCAACAGGACTACTGGGAAGATGAGGAACGCATACGGTCGCTGCTGGAGATGTGTTTCAACGATGGAGTGTACCCCACTGACCTAGATCCAGGGGAAATGTCGGTGCATGGACGCGAAGTTAAATTCAATTTGAACACATCATTGGATGTAATTAAAGTCAAATGGCTCAAGGAGAGGACGATTTCGGTCATCTTCAAGGAAAATGCGAGGTTCTTATCAAAGAGGGTAAAAGACGATACGATACGAGCATTTGAGAACGGATGGGTATTGGGAAGTGAACGCTTTCCATCCGAAACACGAAGAGGAAGAGTAAGAATCAAGGGCCCAAATGCGCTCTCATACGTAGCAAGGACGAGAGAAGTAGCGGAGTTTATGACTAGCGAGGGAGGCGTAGACATCCCAATAGGATCGGTGGAGTATAGAGTTCAATTTAAGCCATGGATGACAAAAGCTGAGTTTAGGGAGCTACGAAGATAGGAGGACGACCGAACTTTCTGGGTGATGGCCATCCAAATACCGCTGGACGATATGTCGTTCATCTACTCTCAGATTGAACGAGCAATTGGAAAGATCATTCTTGCGCATCCTCCAGACACAGATTCTACAAGACCGACGCTGGTTAACGCGCGCTTTGATGTTGATCCAGAGGCAAGAGGGAATATGAAGGACAAACTATGGGTCATCACCTCCAAGGGAGACGAACTAGAAGTCAAACTGGCATGCTCATCGACTCCGAAATGTCGGATATGCAAGCAATTTTTTCATGTAGAAGCGGAATGCAGAAAAGGCGGCGGCCAGCATACCTCAAGAGGCAACGAGGCGATGAATGCAAACCAGCAACCAGCGCAATCTAGAACGGGGAAACCAAGAGAGCGAAGGTCGTCCTACAGGGGCCCTTTGGGCCTTCGTCCTTCGCAGAACGGCAACGCGGGTGGTAACTCCCCCGCAGGAGTTCCGACTGGCATAACGACAACACTAAACCTACTGTTCTCACCAGGAGCACTGCAACAACAGGCATCAGCGTTCAATATGATGCAGCTAGCAGCAGCACTGTATGCCGCACATCTGCAAGGCCTCAACGGACAGTTCTGTGCAAACTGGATGCAGCAAGCCCAACAATTCGGTATGGTCGGGGGAGGCCTTCCTTTCCAAGGAAGCGGCATGGCGGGAAGAGGTTTTGGTATGCCAGGCTTCTCGGCCTTCCATCAATTTCAGCCAGGCCAGGGCCATGTGTCATCTGGAGTGAACAGGCAAACATCAGGAGTTGGCCTTAACAACCCAGGGGGGATCGGAGCAACAGCACCAGGAGCGTTTGGACCGACGACATACAATGGAGGACAAGGGTTCTTCACCCCGATAACTACGCCTCGCCGAGAGAGAGGAGAGAATTTTGAGACATCACTCGGGGGAAGACCAGTGGAAAGGAGCTCAAGTTTGCCTGTCACCGGCTCCAAGGACAGAGGAGGAGGCACAAAACCGAACTCGCCCATATGGGAAGCAGCGAAGACTGAGTATGAGCTCGGTCAAGGAGCTCCGAACGGAGGCATCTGAAGACTCATCAGCGCATGCGCCTTCAACAAGTAATGCTAACGCCACTCCAGGTAGAAAGACCACCAGGGATAGACGACTCGCCTCCATCGCCAAAGGTCAAGGGACCGAGGTAGAACAGATTCTCGTCCCGTTGGTCTGCACGACCACTAGGAACGGGGTGTGGGCAGTCATGTGGCAAACGGCCACATGTCCGCTTACAATATTGTCACACCAGATAACGGACGTGCCCACACCCCAAACGATAAGTCAAGTCGTGAAGGCGCTATTCCTGGACGACTTCCCGATGAGAGTTATTCCAGACTGCCCCATGGCGAGAATAATTACAGATGTTCAAGGGCAAAAGGTCAAACTCTTTGTCCCACTTATCGACGTTAGGTTTACACCGGAGGATCTTGTTCGCCTGGAGGGACTGGGTTTGAGACTCGTACCGCTCGCTTGGTTTGCAGAAGGTGGGAAGCAAGAGTTGGCAAGGATCGCCATAGCCCCTAGGTTACCCGCGGACTGTATGGTGAAGCTGAAGATTAGATTTCACAAGGATAAGAGATTAGACTCCCAGTTTGTCAAAGATGCTCTCACGAAAGCGTGGCCCGAGGGCGGGAGTCAGGGAGTAAACGGACAATCTGAACACAGCTCGTCCCACATCTAACCAGCAGGTGGAGTTAGGATTAATGGTTAGATTAAGTATTGCGTCACGGACGAGTGGAGGAGTAGCAATCCTGCTCCACAGGAACGCGGGAGTGGAGATATTAGACCACTACGCGGATCTGTGGGGAAGATGGGCGTGGCTGAAACTAGGTATAGGGCAAGAGGAGTGGGCAATCGCTATAGTTTATGCTCCGGTCAAAAAGAAGGATTGGGCGACCTTTATGAACGACCTTCTGTTCTGTATGCCAGACGTGGATAATTTGATCATCGTGGGGGACTGGCATCAGACCTTGGATGAGAACAGAGAAATTGGAGGAAGGGACGCGGCAAAGGGCATAATTCCAGTCACCGACTTTATGACGGAGCTACATCTCCTCGATCCGTTCAGACTGACGCACCCACTAGATAGGGGTTACAGGTGGTACTCCAACCAGGGAAGAGGCAGAAGATTGGATTATTTTTTAGTAAACGATGTAGGAATGGAGGCGATCATCAGGATTAGTAATCACAACCAATCACTTTCAGATCACATACCAGTACTGGCAGAGTTCAAATTTGGCGAGGAGCAGGCATTTGGGAAAGGCTATTTTTTGTTAAATACTGAAAATCTAAAAGACCCGAACTTGAGGAATTGGACTCGCAAATCTTGGGAGAGATGGTCCTGCAGGAAGGAACAATTCAGTACTATGGCCGACTGGTGGGAGATAGGATCGAAAATCCTGTCAAATCTTCTGAATGTCTTCTCCAAAATCAAAGCGGCAGAAAGGAACAAAGAAGAGAAGAGATGTAAGAGGAGAGTGGAGTACGCGGAACAGAGGATGAAGGAACACCCCATCTCATAAGCAGTATGGGGAAAGGAACGGGTAAAGAGATTGGAAGAGTGGGATGGGGAATGTAAGAGCAATCGATGCGAAACTAGACGCAATCATCAGGGCAATTCCCCCAGCCTGGTCTGCACGCCTAAGTCCGGAGGGAACATACCCCCCTGGTACTTGGTATATAGACAAGGCCGACCCAGAATGTGAGACATTTTGGAAGCTAGCACAGATAGAGGCAAATGGGGACCGCAAGTTTGAATGCTGGGAGAAGCTTCTCGGCCAACACTCATCTGTCCTTCAAATCCAAGAGGCAGGGGAGGAAAGCACGAGACCACCGACAGTTCTTGCTCAGGTCCGAGTCAAGGAAACCGGTGATGAGAAAGGATAATGGTCCGCATCTCTTTACAACAGAGGCATCCCAATCAGGAATCTGAAGGCGGACCCGATACAATGGTCATGGAGAGGGAGAGGCCAAGCTGGCGAAGACGAACTCTGGGTGGAATACACAGTTGATTTGGGATACAACATCCAAAAGAATGACAGAGCCCCCAAAACAGTAGCTACTGAGCGGTGGGTTAAAGTGCTGCACACGGAACCGGAGCAAGTGCTCAACGCGCTCCTGAGATGTTGGTCACGGCTTGCACAGATCCCCAGCCAGCGTTTGGCAGCTACGTTATGGCTGTTATCCATGCTAGCCACACCCTCGGCGGTCTGGCTTTCAGAAAGGGGCATGAGAGTCGATACGACATGCAAGCGGTGCCAATGGGCGTACGAGTCGACAGTCCATCTATGGTGGGACTGCCCAGCCTCAGCACGACTGTGGAAACGGTGGGCAAAGAAATGGGACCAGATTTCAAACAAGGCCATGCCATGGAACAGAGACTGGGTGCTGCTTGGCGGCATCCCAGATAATTTGCACATCGGGGAAGGCTGGGGCTACATAGCCCAGGTGATCAGGGCAATCGACTTCGCAGTGATTTGGCAAAGACGCAACAAAAGTGTCTTTAACGAGGAGGTCATGACCGACAAGGAGCTCACAAACAGCTTCAGATGCCAAGTCAGGAACGCAATAATGGCAGACTGGCAGAGAAAGAGAGGTAACGTACAGAACAGAGATCAAGGCAGGTGATGGTTTGCAAGAACATGGGCAAACGGAACCGGACTGGTGACGGTAAACGATGAGAACACACTGAAGTTTTCAGAGTGGCTATTAAAGTGATGGCTGTTAGCGGTAAAACATGTAGAGAGACCCTGACATAGATAGGATGGGAGGAACAGGTAAAAACTTAGAAACAATAAAAAGGAAACTTTGACAGAGATAGAGGAAGCCAACCGTCAATGTAAAGGGAAATGCTGTAGGAGGTAGGGATAGGAGAGAGAGGAAGCAAGAGGCTGGGGCTTAGGAGGCCTAACCAGGTGCACTCGGTTATTAATTCCGCAGTAGGAAGGAAGAGGGATTGAAAGGGTTGGAGAGTGTCCAGGTCTAGGAGGACCAAGGGTCCACCTGGCCGACCTTAGGCCGAGTTTTGAAGGGGCGATACCCCGAGCAGGGAGAATAGGTTAGAGCGCGCTTTTTGGATTTGTTTATGGTTTTACTATTTCTTAAGGTTTTGGACTTTATTTCTGGTTGTCTCTGGCAAACCGAAAGGCTACCAGACTCTTTTGATGGCTCTGCCAAGTGTTGTTGGGGTAAGGCCCACATACCAATACTGGGTAATGGTCCCAGTTAAGTGTTATTCCGGGTTGTTTGTGAGGATTCCCGGCCTCATGGATCGTTTTCAAGATAATGGATTCCTTTCTTTTTCCCAAAAAAAAAAAAAAAAAAAGTAATCCATCGACAAAGATGGTGGTGTCAAAACTTGCTTGCCCACCCACTGATTTGTTTTTTCTCTCTTTTCACTTTTTGTTTTCCCTTTATTTCGGGGCATGAAAAAAATTATTACTTTTTCAAACCTTATTTTTAGGTTCTATGTAAGATACACATATATAATTTTTCATAGCATTTGTCAAAGCCAGAAAAAAAAAGAAAAATCGCCAAAGATGGCGGTGTCAAAGACGTGCTCGCCCGCTCAATAATTTCATTATGGTCTTATTTTTTCTTATTTTCATTCGCGAGGATCTGGGTCTTCGGCAAGCCTAAGGGGGCCCTGTTGCAAATATGCCCGCCCTAAGTGAAAACGAGCCTAACAATTTACGAGGCCCTCAGCTGCCAATTTCGTATTTGGGGTCCAGGCAGTTTCGCCGCGCCAGTTGGTTGAGGGAAACACAGGCCGAGCAGCGAGACATTCCATGGCCTTCCGGGCCTTTCAGAAAAATGCAGGCCCTGGGCGAGAATCGCAGCCTCATACACAGACAGTTGGGAGGCCCAACCGAATGAGGCCCAGTAACTGCAACAGAGGCGCAACATCTTGGGTCCTACCGGAAGCTTCTGGGCCGAGGCCCAGGCCAGCCAGGCTGTGAAGGCAGGCCGGCTCATTCCATATAGGGAAGAGCTCGCTGCCTGGCCAGGTATTCAGCACTTGCATGCTGGCGGCAGCGCTGCTGGAGCGGACTCTCGTGGGCTGCTGTTGGCGCCGAGAGGCAAGGTGCTAGTGTGTGCGGTCGTGTAGGGAGCAGGGCGCTGTTGAGGGCGGCGCCATAGCCCAGCCTCCATAGCTGGATGGGTTTGGACTACAGTGAGGCCTAGACGTGGACTTCGGGTGTACAGAGGGAAGACGTGGGTGTAAGACAAGGGAGAGAGAGAAGGATGATGATGATGATGATGTGAGGGCACATACCTGGTATTGGCGATGGTCTGCTACAGGCGACATCTTCAAGTATTGCATTGGCTGCCGACGTCAAGAGTTGCACTGTCAATTAGTAGGCTAGTAGTAGGTGTGTAGGGAGTAGGCTGAGCGTCGAGTGACAACTAGGAAGAAGGGCCTGGATACATATGTTGGTGGTGGCGAGAACAAACTCTCATTGACATTGGTTTTCAGTGTTACGATTGTCCATTGGTGTCATATTGGTGCAATGCTGCTTTCTGAACACTGTGATACGATTTGACTTTCAAAATGTGATTGTGCAATCTGAATATTGTCATCTCCCTATTGCTCATTTTCCTTGCACATTATTAATTTATTATTATTTATTTTTTGTATTTGATTTTTATTTCAAATTTGGTATGGAATGTGAATGTAATGTTGAGGCGAATGTTGATCAGTTTATTCTTCTGCATAACATGTTTTGTTTTCAGATTTTTTTGATGACTTTTTTTTTTTTTTTTTTTTTTTTTTTTTTTTTTTTTTTGGGGGTTTTTTTTTTTTTTTTTTTTTTTTTTTTTTTTTTTTTTTTTTTTTTTTTTTTTTTTTTTTTTTTTTTTGGGGGGGGGGGGGGGGGGGGGGGGGGGGGGGGGGGGGGGGGGGGGGGGCCGTGTTCGGCCGGTCGAGAGGGGTTCCCGAACGTTCGGGCGTTCGGCCCGTCCTGAATGCCAACAACCCTATATGTATATAATATATATATATATATATTCTGTTTGTGACGATATATATATATATATCATCATATATATATATATATATATATAGTCACATAACTACGAACTAA